GGGTATCGGATAGCAAGGTTTTCCAGCCAATTAACTCTCGTGGCGCGGGCCCGTGACTCGACACAAGCGAGAGGGAGGTGGGGGAGAGAGGGGCCCGGGTAATTCTAGACGTGCGGACAATCCGCATCCGCCACATGGTGTGGGTCCACCACGCTACGCACCCAATACGAGTTTCGCATTTCCGCGTGACTTTTGGTTCCGCGTTTTCCTCGGAAAGATGTACAGTCTGCGGAACGCAGCATCGCATCGCGGTACCTCAGTACTCAAAGTACCAGTGCATACGAGTACATCGCGCTATATCTTACAACTATCGTATCGACATCAAGCCTGTCTGCGTTGTTTGAAATCCCCAAAAATTTTTGCACTTAAAATGAGACAAATTCCGGCTAAGGTAATGTTTTTCGTAATAAGTTCCTTACAGGTTTTAAGATGTTAATAGTATAAAACCGACAATCTACTATCTAAATTTTTTGGAATAAATCTCACACTTCGAACGTATGAAAATTCTGCCACTTTTTTCAAGAATAACAGAATTTTCACTCTTTTGGAGTTTACTTTAAAAGTTTTACTCCAACGAATTTAGATAATTATTTAATTTGAGGAGATTATATATTATTACTATTTCAGTTTGATTGTGTTGCAATCCAAAAGTAACCGGCGCGCAGTCATATATCTGCACTCCGAGAAAAAAGTCGTATCAGTAACTATAAATTTGTAGTGAAATAGCGCCTCAACTATATATACATATATTATTAAATTCTAATAAGAATACTAGATTAAGTGAACTAAGAAAATATAGTACATTAACCATATAATCAATTTATAAATGGTTAATATTACTATATTTTCTTAGTTCACTTAATTTACTTATTGTTCTTATTAAAGCTTTATAATACATAGTTACAAATTTGTGTATGCATTTCTTATTTATTTTTGTCTTCCAAGTTCGAAACCAACGCTGCGTCTTTTATCGTAAGCTGAGTGATTTCCTTCTTAGGAGAAACTGAACTTCGCTACGTCCCTCTGGTGACAAAGCCGCGTACTACTCGTACTGAGTGACACTTTAAAAATTTTTGTCTAAACTAGAAAAATGTAATTGTTATACCTATTTGCATGAAGTCCAAGTAACTACTCAATGTAGTTGAGTCACTATTTCACTACCAATTAATAGTGCATACAATTTGTTACCGTGACTATATTTTTATAATATTCAGCACTACTTTAGTTTCTATTACTTTGTAAAACTAGTTACAGGTACTTCAATTGTAAAAGTTACCAAATTTATAGTTGCTAGAATTATTTCGTTTTCTCTCAGTGTGAGATATAAATTTATTGAAATACATATAGATGTATGAGATTATTCCACATCTAACTCTTTAACCGCAATTGGCGCTTACTTACAATTAATTGACATAAAAATAATTTTGTTTGGATTATCAAAATAATTATGTTGAACATTAATTGCTGGAACTTTAGAACTTCTTGTAATATTATCATCAACGTTTAAATTCTACTAATAATTATTTTGATGATCCAAAATTGTTTTCAGATCTATATTTAACTTATGTAATATTAAATTTTTAGATACATCAGCAAAACCATCCTTTCCATGTAGTTTCAAATTTACAAGATACAAAGATATATACAATACCACTCCCAAAGTTGACTCCGAATTTACTCGGGAATCTGCCATTAATGTTACGATCGGGAGTTACGAGACACCCTGTATACCATCTCTCAGAGCACACACCGGTATTTTCACCGACCGTTTCGAGAAAGAAACCGAAAGGACGAAGAAGAAGAAGAAGAAGAAGAAGAAGAAGAAGATGAAGAAGAAGAAGAAGTAAAAGGAAGTCGAGACGCCACGAGTCGCTCTCGAGACGTCTATATAGCGTCCACACACGCGGCAACGCGCGAGAGAGGGAAACGGGAGGATGGACCAAAGGGGGAACGAGGAGAGGAGAGCTGAAGGGGGGGGACAAAGATGGTTCCCCCCTTTTTCCCGTAAGTGGTCTCTCTCACCGCGGGCCTTATGGGGTTTCTCCCGGCGGTGGGCAGTATCTACATATTACAAGCTCGCGGCGCGGAGACCACCGTCGTTGACATAAGATCCTGTTATGCTGTCTGCTATCTCTCGGCGCAGCTCGTGTCGCGCCATAAAAAACATTAAAAGTACGAGTAACATAAATTCGTTAAGCGCGGCGGCGGTCGCCTCGCTTCTCTCGCGAGAGTGCCCTCCTCGAGAGACGAGCGCTGATCGCTCGCTCGGAAACACTCTCACCCTCTTCACCTCGTCGGGCTCTTTGTGTCTCCTCCACCTCCACTCTCGTTGCGATTCTCTTATTTTATTGCCCGTCGATTATACCGTCCACACAATACACAATCATCGATTTTAAACTTGGATTACACTGTTAGAGATCAAAGGAGCAATGGTAACCCAATCCTTTGAGTTTAATAACATTTTGTTGTTTTTAACTTCCATGTACGTCAAAATGTAAATCAATCCATTTCTATGGTTAGTTTCAAAATAAATCGTCCATATTAACGTATACATTTAGTAAATAATAAACTAAATTTGAACTAAATTTAATACGTATTTTCTTGAATTGTTCAACTCCATTGTTTTAGTCAAATTAACAAACTGATTCAAAATAACTCAAATTGGGTATAATTTGACATAATGAATTGAACGGTGTAGCTATCAGATTGCAAGGATCAATAAAAAGAGATTTAAATTTTTTTTTCCATCAAAGGTGTTGAAGGGGTGTTAAGTTTACAAAGTTAAAAGAACCTATCACAACTATTGAAAATTAGCGCAATTCGTGAAACGTCATAGGTTCGCGTGTGTGTTTCTTCAGTTTTCATTTCTTTCAATCGCGCGCCGTGAATTCCAGAATACTTCGCGTGCGCGTGCACGTAACTCACCGCGGTATGTCGGATAAACGAAGAGATTCTTGCGGTAGGTACGGCTCGAAAGTGTCCGCAAGAAACTCGATCCGGTCGGCGCTCTAATCGACCGGAGAATTCCACGGCGATGTCTATTCGAAAGGGAAATCCAAAGGTCGAATTGCGGATAGTAACGAGCTTTCGAGACAGATGA